ACATGGAGAATAGAGAATTTAAGTCTTGAGACCTTTAAAAGCAGGAGTTGAATATGTAACTAAAGGAAAAATAGCCAATATTTCTGATAAAGGAAAAGGAGCTTTAATTTAATTTGATTTATTAAGTTCTGAAATAGATGCTTAAGGAAAGAAAACATTAGCTTTTGTTAATACATTATCTCTCTTTATTAGAGGATTAGGAGGCTTTGGACATAAAGGAAATCCAGTTGAAAACATTCCTGCTACACCTAAAAGACCTCCCTGCAAAGAAGTTAAATAAGTCACAACACCAAATCAAGCTATCATATATAGACTATCTGGTGATATTAATCCATTACATATTGATCCTGTAATATTAGATAATTTCATATTAGAATATGGCTGCTTTAGGAGGATTTGATAAGCCTATTTTACATGGATTGTGCACCTATGGTATTTGTGCCAAAGCTGCCATTTAGACATTTACTTAAGTATGAATTTTGTTTAATTATTATAGGGAAATGGTGATACTCTTAAAAGTATGGCCGCTAGATTTACTTCTCATGTATTTCCTGGAGAAACTTTATTGATTTCATTATGGAAGGATGGAACCAAAGTTTAATTTTCAGCTAAAACTTAAGAAAGAGGAATAGAAGTTATAGTTGGTTTTGTAGAGTTTAATGAGAAAGCAAAATTATGAAATAATTATAAAATAAATTAGTGGATTTTCATTTAATTTTTAATAAGACTTATTCTAAAGCTTAGGCTTATGTAAATAATGATTAAGTATATTAATCTTCTTCAAAGTAGGGGGCTTTTTCAGGATGTCTAACAGAAGTTCTGAAATTTTCATATTCAATTCCCTTATTAAATATTAATTTAATAATACTATTTGATTAACTTAATCTTTAAGCATTTAAATTTATCTTTCTTAATCTTAAATTACATCTTGATGATTTTTCAAATATAATTCTTTAATTAATTCTCTTAATTCATTAGACATACCATTAGGATCTTTAGATAGAATCAATCTAGATAAATCCTCTATTATTTTCTTTAATTTTGGATCCTTATTGTAGGATTCTTGTTTCACCATTTTAGATTAATTTATTTTTTCATCTTAAAGTTCTTTGAAGAGACTATCATATTAATTTTATAGAGCAGCCATATTTTTCTCATATTATTTACCTTGACTATATAATAAATACAATTATTCTAAATCATATTAAAATTCTTTAATATTGATAATATTATTAGCTGTAATCTCTCTAAATAAAGTAGGATATTTCTATAAGAGTTTTTTTATTTTATCCAAAATAGAATGAACAGTTTATAATTGGAATTGCTCTTGAATTAATTCATTATTTTTATTATCAATTTCCTTATTTAATTCTTCAATTTTCTATTTAAATTAACCAACTTAATTTAATAAACCTGCCACTCCAAGCATTGGTTCATTAATGCTTTATTAAATCTTATGTAACAAAACATTTTAATGTTATACTTGTGTTTTTAATCTAGAAATAGTTCTTTCCTATTCATTTATAGCAATTTAATAGTTAATATTACATTGTTGACTTTCATCATCAAAAAATGTATCTGATTCTTGTGAAACACATAATGCAATTACAGCCTAATTGTACTTTTAAACTTTCTCTAATTAATCTCTAAAAGGAATTTCTTATTGAAGTAGTGAATTTAACGAATTGTGATTATCTCTTATATTTTATTCAATCTTAAATAACACATTTTTGATGTTACTTTAGAATTTCTCTTTAAATTTTAAATGAAAAAGTAATTTTTAAACAACTTCAAAATGATCTAAACGTAATCTTTCATATTTTCCATCATATTATATTGAAATAGGGTCTAAGTTAAAATATCCTAATTTATAATGTTTAACTCCATTTTAATAAAGCTCCTTTACAGTTCTATCATTTTAGAGTTTATTGTTTTTCTGAATCTCACTATTTGGTAGAAATTTAACATCTTATTGCAAACACGATTCACAACATAATTTCTTTTTTTTAGTCTCCACAATCATTTTTCCTTGATCTTAATTATAAATTTAGATATTGCTTGACTGAATTCTACTTAAAATTTTATCTGTGATATAATCTTTAGTTGGTGTTTTATTTCTCATTAATTATAATATGAATTAAAAAGTTAAACATTCTAAAGAAGAGGATGATGATTTCAATCTTAATACATCAAGTGCTGAGCCATTAGAATTGGATGATTAATATACAAAGCCAAAGTCAGTTTGTTGGGGTAGATGTTACCCGATGATGTTTAGGAAAGGCAATCCTGCTGTTGTTATTGGACCACATTGTAAGTGATAATATAATTTAGGGCCTTTGTTTATTTGTGCTTTTCTTTTATTTTTATTAATTGGATGTCTATTTATTTTCCTTAGACTTAATGATGATCCATTAATATTTTATACTACTCTTTTTGTTGGTATTAATCAATGTGTTAGTTACTTAATTGTTTCTTTAATTAACCCTGGAATTGCAAATATAGAAAGAATTGATATTGAAAAGAATCAATAAACTAATCAAAAAACATGGTAACTTTAAATTTATATTGAAAGGTATTGTAAAGTATGTAAATTGATTTAACTCAAAGAAACATAACATTGTTTAGATTGTGATATTTGTATTTAAGAATATGATCATCATTGTCCTTGGACTGGTAAATGTATTGGGAAAGGCAATATTAAATAATTTTATTATTTTATCTTAAGTACTGTTGTGTTTATGATTTTTAACCTTGTTATAATTTTGCTAAAACTAAAAGAATAAGAATCTAAAACAAATAAATAATAATGAATTAGTTTTATTAATATTATCAATAACTAAAAATATCCTATCATCTGATATAAATTTCTATTATTCTCATTTTTATATTGTTATTCTAATTAAAAAACTTAAATCTCACTATCACTTTAATAACTAATTGCTGATAATTTCTATGGATCATAAGAATTTATGGATTCTCATCCAAGAGATCCAGTTGCCATTAGAAAAATAACCAGGTAGGAATTTTATTAAATTGTTTTCAAAAAATGAATTTTGTACATTATATGATATAAACTTGATTATATACTTTTCATAATGTTGGTCTATTGAATAAATCTTAAACTGGTAATCTTATCTCGTTGACAACTTATTCTAAATTTCTATTGTTTTCGTATTTACTAGCATGGATTAACTAAGATTATTTGGTTTCTAATTACTTTTTAATAAAATTTTTCTTAATCATTTTAGCCTAATAAAATTCCATAATGTTCAAACTCATAAGAATCAATTAATAAATTTAATACTGTCAATAATTCTTAAGCATTTTATCCAATTTATTATTTAATTAAATTAATATTTGTTATATTGGTTTCCATTAAGGATAATGAAATAAAATTCTAATTTAATAATAATCTATCTAATATAAAATTAGAAGCTCTATATCTTCTGAATGCAAGTAATGCAAAGAACTTTTAAGAAGCAAATAGTTCAAAAGTCAATTAGGAAAACTAATAGGCTGAATATGAATATTTTAGATGTTCTTATTATAATAATTTCTCTTTTATTTTTGCAACATGATAACCAAATACATGAAATGGATTACTTACATTACTTTAAGTTAAAGGTCCAAGTTCTGCAAACATTGAAACTGGATCTCCCATAAAATATTATCCCAAATAATAAAGTACAACTTATTTATTCTAAAGATATATATTATAATTATAATTACTTTTTCAACATCTAAAATAGTATTTAAATAATCTGTTTATTTTTATATTCTATTATTCTTGTAAAATGAAGATAACCATATGAGTTTTTCTTAGATTTAAGGAACTCCAGATATTCTGAGAAAACCAAATCCTCCAAAGACATCTCTTAATTATTCAGCCACATATACACTATGTTCTGTAATATAAAGAGAAAAGAAATCAACAAATTTTTTACTTACTTTTCTTCTTGCCTTTTTCATAAACACATCCTAAAAGAACTCTTTTCTAGCTTCTTAAACACTTATATAAAACATGACAGCAAATGAAATTGCATTAATTAATCTTGTTAATGTAACTTAATAAGTTAAAATTGGTCTTTCTGTCTTATCATCTGTTGTTCTGAATTATTTTCTCATTGAACAATACTTATAACAAATATCTGTCAATCTCATAATTTCTCTTAATGCAATTTAACAATCCTCAAATCCTTAATGAGATTCCCATTATTCAATAAGTTCAAGATCTTCTTAATTTAATTCAATATATTTCATCACTTTTGATCCTTCAAATTAAATAGCATAATTTTAATATATTGATATAGTCTTACCTAACCATTTCTCTTTAACTTTATTATCTTTTAATTATATTAATGCCAAATAAATCTTATCTTAATTTTTACAAGTAACTAAAGCATGAGTACCAAATTTGCCTTAATAATTATTACCAATTTTGTATATTCCTTCTTTACTATATAATGTTGCTTAATTATTTTCAAATTAGATTGATGTAGATAATTCACTCAATTAAAGTGATCCATTAAATGCTTATTCATTTGATAACAATGAAAGTGAGACTTTTAGAGTATTAGCTTATGCAAGCAAATTCTACAACTCCTTATTTTGGGTGATTGTTTTTAGGATCCTTAGATTTAATAATTAAATCTAAAAAAATCTTTATACATTAGGAGAAACAAAATCCCCAAAGTATTAAACATAAGATTCAGCTTAATATAATCCTCCTTTGCTTTAAATAAATTTAGTTAATCTATCCACTTGAATGAGATCTATATTATATTATTCATTCAAATTATGAGAACTATGGATAATCTAAGGTTATATCTCAGGTGTCTCTTAGATAAACTTTTTGAATTCCTAAAATAATTGAAATTGTGGTTATCCTCTGTAGATGAGATATGTCAATGATTATTTACTTACTTAAAAATCTTCACTATTCATTATTAATTATATATATATTTAGTATAAAGCAATACATAATCTATATACAACTCAGCTCATTTTATTTATTCTAAAATGCTAATTATAAAATTCTCTAATGATTTATTTAATTTTTATTGTTTCTTTTTTCCTAATACCACATAGTTACAATAAAAATCTTTCTTTATTTCTAATTCCTTCAAAATTACTTTAAAGAAATCAAAAATTTTATTAATTTGAACACATGAATGTGTTAGTAATTTTCTATTGTATGGATTAAATATCGTAATTGGTAACATAGGTAAGCAATAATCTTATAAATTGAAAAAGTAACTAAAAATTTATAATAATATTAATTATACCTAGAGTTTGGATTATTAATATCTGCTAATAGACCTATTCCAGTAGATGATGGATCAAAACAATTTACATAAAAGTTAAGCATATCAATAAATTATTCACCAATTAAATTAGAAGTAATTCTTTATTCTCTCATATAAGAATATACCATAATTATTAATGAGTAGGAGGATAGACCCCCTAATATATAATCAAATGAGATTATTACCTGTATATGACTCTGATAGCTTAAGTTTTTTAATCATAGATTTGAAAATAAGGACTATCTATTATAATGATGGATATTCTTCCATCCATTTTTTAACCAAATCAGTAGTTATTGAACCTAAATGAGTAGAATATATAGCATTCCCATTAAAGTTAAATGAAATATCCACCTTTATTCCACTCTTTAATTTCTGTTTTAATTTTTTCCACTATTGAATTTATTATTCATCTAAATTCCTTCCTTCATATTCAAATATATTAATCTATGGATCTATTTCTAATTTAATTATTGGAACAGATGAATTAAATATTGGACTAATAATAATCATTTTTAAATATATACTTTGCTTTGACTACCCATTTTTTTCTAGAGAATTCAAAAAATAAGTTATCAAAATGAACTTTTAACATATTTCTATTATAAACTTCTAATCCATTTATACCAATATCTATATCAGAATCTATTAAAGCTAATCCTGTTGCACAAGACCCAAATAGCCTAGATCTAATAAATAATATTTACATTATCATTCCATCAGGAATACCTAAGAATACTTTCTAAATTACTAATTTAACTCTTTCAAAAGCTAAAAATCTAAAGGGTAACATATCTTCATATTCACTCATAATGTTATCAGTGAAATCAAGAATATCTAAATTGATTTATTCAATCAATTTTTATTTTCCCTTTTATTAAACATTTTCTAATTACTCTTTCAAGCTTTTTTCTGAATTTTATTGAAGTATGGATACATTCTTTTTTATATCAAATTACTAATTTTTCTTTTAATTTTTTGTAACAATATCATCTTCTAAGGTTTTTTATGATATTTATTCACTTTCATTTGAGGCTGAATTTATATCTTAATTAATTTATTAATCTTCAAATTAATTCATTTTAAAAGAATTTATCAATTTAAATATATTTTTTTTATTTTCATTACTATTTTTCCTTATTTTAATTTAATTTTTTATAATGTTTAATTATTATTTCCCTTCTTCTTCTTCAGATGTAGATGATGTTCTATTAGAACAATGACTTTTAATTGTTTATGCTTATGTTTCAATTGAAAATCTTGTTATTTCAGATTAAGGTGATTATAATTATAATTGTTCATCTCTACTTTCTGGTATTGATTTTTAAAATCCTTTTTACTTTTTTTTAATTCTTTTCTTGTCTTTTAAATATTATTCCTTAAATTAATTTTCATCATTTAATGAAATATTTGCAATTTCTAATATATTAATTGTAATAGATTAACCAACATCAACAAAATCATCATTAGTTGGATTTTCAAGATTTGTATGAAATTATTATGATATTAATGGTTATTCAATTTAAATTAAATTAATTTTTGGATTATTTGAACTTTAACATTTAGATAATTATTATTATGTATTTGAAACTTTATAGTATTCACTATTATAAAAATAAAATTATACTTTTAATCATCACTGGTTTCCCATGCTGATGGTGTATTAGGTGGAGTCACATATGTATATGTTAAATTACTTTATGAATATGATCTTTAAAATCTTAGAATATTTGATTCCTAAAGATTTTTACTTGATAATCTTTTATTTAATTCAATTGGATCTAATCCTTTAAATGTTTACATTTTTTAGTATTTCTTTTTCTTCTTTTTTTTATCTTTTTTTTATTTTTTATCTGAAATTTCAGTTTTAAACAATTCTTATTCTAAATGTTCTTAAAATAATTGTTGTACTATTTTATAAAACTTTTTTAATATATATGTTTTCTAATCTACTAAATCATTCATAGATGTAATCAACATTGAATTTATGATATTTGTATCAGTATGACATTTTTATTAAAAATTCAATAATAATTCTACTTATGACTTCAATAATTTAATTGCTGTGCCTGAGAATATATTTTCATAGAATTTATTTTCTAAATGATCAGGTTGCTATTTAATTTCTGAATAGATTTCCTAAAAATAATAGGTTAACTAAAAGTAATTAAATTTATATTTTTACTCTTTCTTTATTATTGGCTAGATTTTATATAAAAAATTCTTTAAGTTCATTTGAAGTATTCTTATAGATAGGTTATCTAAAGAGTCTCTATTTTTTCTTTTTTTCTCTATGAAGATTATAATGAAAGGAAATATTTTTTTCAAATTCTTTAATGATCCAAACTGCACAACTATGAAAACTGTTTTAATGAAACCATATAGGATCTTCTGCTTTTTCTATTATGGCTTTTGGAGATGTAGATAGAAAATATTTATCAGAAAGATCATTCAATAAATCTAAAAAAGAGTTTAAATTTTCTAAATGTGGCTCAGCAACAAAAATAGTATCCATAAAATTTTCATCATCAACTATGTTCAATTTAGTATACAAATCCTTAATGAATAATGTTTATTAGATACTTCTGCTTTAGGATGTAGTGCTTTGAACTTCATCATGAACTAATCATCAATTTTAGACTCCAAATTAATTGTTGCTCTAAAAATAGTTTTAATATTAACTGTTAAAGTAATGCATAATTTGAAGGGTTATTTAATTTGTCATATATGTACATTTTCATTATTGGAAAGGTTTTTATTTATCCTTTAATCTGAAATAGTTTATACAATTCAGATTATTCAAGTGTAGAGAGCCTATAAAATGAATCAACAAAATAGATACCATGATATTACTTCTGATTTGTATGTTGCAGTGGATGAATTCTATTCTTGGATGTTATCTGCATACAAATTATAATAATAAGGAGCTCTATATGGATACATGCAATAATTGAAAGGTTATAGAAAATTCATTTAATTTATCTGATTCATCTATCTACATTACGATTATGATTACATGTTTTGATATGAGATTGTTCTGATAAATTTAGTTTATTATTATTATTATATAATAATAATCTGAGAATCTTAAAAATGAGAGTGTATTAATATTAATATAATAAAAAGATATATAATATATTAAATATAACAATAATGTTGAGCTTGAAAATCTATTTAAAATTGTTCTCTATATTAAAATTTTAATCAAATCAATTATAAATTATATTTTGTTCTCAAGAAATATAATTTTAAATTATTATTTTATATAGTGCGCCATCTTCATAAGAATTATTAAATATATACTATATTATTTCTTTTAAAATTATAATGTCTTAAAAACATATAAAAATGAATACCTATATATAAAAAATAATTAGATTCAATTAATAGTATAGAATTCAATCCTCTTATTTTCATGAGCACTATATAAATATTTACCATCCGAAATAACTTTATTACATCCATAAGGATTCATTGAAATTTCTTAAACCTTTTATGGTTAAGTATCTAATTTCCATACTGATATTTTCCCTTCTTATTCAAAACCCATCAATCCTACAAATAAATATTAAGATTCAGGATCAAAACTTATAGAATGAACTGGATAATCTTCTTCAAGATTTCTTAATTCTTAAAGTTTTGGATATTGCCATATTTTTATACAATTATCTTTTGAACCACTTATTAAAATTCCACTATTTTAAGAATTATTACTAGACAATGCTAAACATAAAATTAAATTCTTATGACCACTCACATCTAATATTTTATTATTTGTTTAAGTATCATATAAAATAAGATTCTTTCCACTTGCTATTACTAAATTATGTCTTTCAGCTACTAATGCACTTACTCTAGCATTTGTTTTAAAAGAATGTTATAATTATCCATCATAATCCCAAAATTTAACATATGTATCATCTGATCCTGATGCAATATAATTTCCAACAAATTCTAAACATCTTATTCTATCTGCATGTCCTTCACAAACATAAACTTATTTCCAAAAAGGACATGGTTTCCATATACGAACTGTTTTATCAACTGATCCACTAGCAATAATTCTTTTCTTTGAAAATGCAACACATAAAACTTAATCTTTATGTTCCTTAAGAGTCATTTTCAATTATCTTGAACGTCTATAATTATATTTAAATAATATACTTGTCCCATATTTTAATTGAAGTATCTTTAGAACATGTAATAATTTTATCACCATCCATTAATGCAAGATCTTTTACACTTTTATCATGACCTTTTAGTGTTTATTCATATTCTATTGATAAAGGATTTAATAAATTTGGAGTTAATTTAACTTAAGGTGGACCAATAGACCTAATTTATTAATTTTATTTACTTAGAACTAATATATGATAAATCTAATTATGATTTATTATCTTTAAGTTATTAACCTGAAAAGTTTGATTATAATGAATTAGACTATTTAATACTATTTTATTATTAAATTACAAATTATTCTGTAGGTTCGAATAGAAGTTAATTTGAAATTGAAAAATGCTATTCATAAGTTTATTAATTATCTTTAAAAACTGAATATTGATTTTTTTAGTTATTATCTTCATTAATTTAATTGTCTTAATATTAATTTAATATTTCACTTGTAGCAGGAATAAAATCAGAATTTTATTGTTTCTCATCCTTTTATGAAGCATTAGAAAGATAAAACATATTATCTTTTAAAATACTTTTATTATCATTTTATGTTAAAGATATTTGATTAGCAAAATAACCAGTTTAATTTGGCTATTCTTATTAAATATATTTGAAAACACTTTATTATTATTAAGACTTATTATTTTTTGGAGATTTATCAAATGTTTTGGATCCTGGAGATTTAGGTAATATATCTATAGATTAAGTTTACATATTATTAACTTTAAAAGGTTCTACTGGTCTTTGTATTTCAAAAGAAGAATTTTATGATTTTTATTTTGATTGATAACTTTCCTAATTTTATACTTTATCAGATGATTTATCTAAATCAAATGGTTTTGTGATTTTGAATGAATTTTATGTATCCTATTTACTTCTAGCAGATTATTAAGAATCTTATTCAGTGAAATAATTCTTTAATTTTGAATTATTAAATGAACCAACTGGCATTAAATCTCTTTATAATAGTTACTTTCTTATTGGTGAAATACTTGCTTATTTTTATTAAAAAATAGGTTCTTTTGATCGATTTGATCGATTAGTTAATTCTGGAGAAATTTCTTTTCCTTCAGATAAATTGGATTTATAGTTGAGAATACTCTAAGATTATGAAGGTGTTTAAGGTAATAATACAGGTTAAACTTATTTAATAGGTAATTAAGAAAATGCTTATTTAATCTATTTTTCAATATCTATAATCTGTTCATAAAATGATTCTAAATATTCTCTATCTTTTAATTAATCTCTTTAAACTAACTCAATCAATTTAGATTAGAATTATTAAATACTCATTTTCTCTTATTTTAATTACTTCACTAATTCTTTTTTTCTTTTCTCATCTATTTAACTCACATCAATTAATAATTAAGATATTTTACTATGAAAGAATGCTTTAAGTGATTCAAGTTTCTGTAAAATATTAGTTTAATATTCAGCGTTTAAATATTTGAATTATTCATTAATATAGACATCCAAATTTTTAATCATATGCGTATCATGAGTATCAATACACATGTCACAAAGTGGTCCTTTCCTTGTACAATCAGGTTGTAGGCATACCTAAGTATATGGTAATGAATGCAGTTAGCAATAATATTACATAAAAATATTTATATTATTATTGATATTTTACTCTTAAAATCAAAAGAAGTGAATATTATTTATTTTAAATATTTAATAACTCTAAACTTAAACTTAAACTTTAATATTTATTTATTAGATATTACATATAAATTACTTATCTTTATTATAATTATTACTTGTTTCTAAGACTTATTTAATTGGATCTAATAAAATATCAATATTTAATTAAACTAATATTTACAATTTAAGGTATATCAATATTTTATCAACCTCATTATGAAGTTTAAATACTTAATATATTTATAAATAATTAAATTTAATGTTTTCAGAAAGATTAGTAAGAGTTACTTTGACTTTACCAAAAGTTGAAGGTAATCTCAAATGGGAATCAGATGCTTAAACAACTACTTCTAGATCAAGTATCACTCTTATTTATATTTAGGAATCATTTCAATCAATGCTAGACCTTAATAATTTGGCAGTAGATTTCATAAACATACTATGACTTCTATTGTCTCTCCAAAATAACTCTAATTATACACTCCTATGTAAGAAAGCAAAAGAGCAAAGTAATTAAAAAATATTCCTTATGAACTCTAATATTTTACTCCAAAACTTCCAAATAAAAACTTTACTTCTAGCCATCTAATGAGTGATGAATTACTTAAACCTTCATCTGATAATATAGAAAATAAAGACAAATGGCAGATTAAATCCCATATTCCAAAAACAAATAATGTGTTCAGTTTATGTTAAATAAAAAGACTTAGTAAATAAGAGAAAAATAATGAAAAATCATAAGATTTAACTTAAATTAGAAAATAAAATATTCGAAATATTGAGAATGAAAAAATCAAAGTAAATTTAAACTATTTATCATATTTAGAGATATAATAAATATAGATAAGCCACTAAAAAGTTGATTGATCAATTTGCCTAATAATTTAATACTCGTGCTAAAATAGACAATTTCAGCTTGAATCTATGAAAATCAAATAGAATGTTTATTTGTTTGATAATCTCAATTATCTCTATAACTTTTTATTTTCAATCTAAATTCTATATTAAAAAATAATAATAATTTTATTAAAAAGAAATGCTTCAAAATTTTATTCAATTTTAATCATCTATAGGTAATTATTATTTTATTATTCTTAAAGAAAATAGAGATAAATTACTTAAATTTTTATAAAATTGGCAATTGTTAAGAAGTTATATGCTTATAGGATATAATAATGAAGAATCAGAGACTAAATTTTATATATATTGTATATTAAATCTTTAAAATAGAACAATTATATATATGTAGAAGATTATTTAGACTTGGAAAGAGTCTTTAAACAATCTTAAATATCTTAGAAAAGAAATAATTATAAAATTCAAAAAAAGCATACAATTAAATACCACACACTGTGAATGAAATGTCCATATATTCAGTGTATATATTCTATTTCTTTTTTCATATGATTGAAAATATCATGGTCATTCATTAAATGGGATTTTTTGGCAAAAGATTTAATCATAAATTATTAAAAATAGTATCACATACATTTTGGACTTTGGGATTACTAACATAACTTATATATTATTTCAATAGACTTAGATCAGCATTTCGAAGGTATTTTAATCTTTATTAGAGAGAGAGTAAGAATTGAAATCTTAAATCTAAAATGGAATGACTAATGGAGAGTTTCTAGAATAATTGAAATCTTTATCTAAAGAAAGATATTAATATGGATTACTAATATTAAGAATTATTGGTGATCTAGCATGTGCTATGTAGAAAGCATAAATTCCAGAAAAAATTGTATTGAATTCTTATTATTCTAGTTACATACTAGGTTTAATAGAGGTCTAGTTGCATGTGGAGGATTATTGAGTTCAACCATTTAAATCTATTTACAAGCAGCAAAAATAAATAAAAAATAGAACTTCGTTGAAATATGAATAATGAAAGAGTTTACATATTTAATAATAAAACCTCAAATTTATAAATCCATATAAAATATAATCTTTATTTATTAAATTTCAAATATAGTCCTTCTATATATTTATATATATATATATTCAAAATCTAAAGATGATTATTAATTCAGCATAATAAATTTTACATTATTTATTCTATTAAATATAACAGAAAATAATTATAAAAGATTTATTTATTAATTATTAAAATAATCCTTATCATTTATTAACTTTATCTAAATATATTATATCATAAAATACCTATGAATTATTATGTAAGATTGAAATTAATGAATAAAAAATAATTATATTTAAATAAGTAGTACTGATGGATTTATGAAATGTATATAATTAAGTAGATAGAATATTTATTTAAAAATTAAGTTTGTATTTATCGCTCTTTCTAAAAAATAGACAATAATATTATTCATTTCATAATTTATATAAGTTATTATATGTTTCTGTTAGATATCAATATAGAATTTTCATAATAGTTTAATTTATAGATAAATTAGTAATTTTTAATATCTTTAATTCATAATCTAAGATTTCTTATTAGATTATTAATATAAGAGGTCATCATTATTATGTTTTTTTTTTTGATTTGATTTCAAAAATAGATTTAAGAGCATATGTACCTGGACCAGGTGAATCATTTTTCAATCCTGGTAAAGGTCTATCTCCAATTCCAAAAGTAATTTATTTGAATCTATTGTTTTATATAATTTTATCGGTAGGAAGATAAGTTGTAGGTGAAGCTGTTTTTGGTAATTTCATATCAGAACTTATTAGTTAAATAATAATTCATACTTGATTTTGCCATATATACTAAAGACTTTTGTTTTATTAAGCAATTTTAAATCATATGATCCAGGTCCTGGAACATCAAAACCTCTTATTGATTATAACTTCATTCCAAAGCTGCAGGATCTACAAGAGGTCTATTTTATATCATATGTTCCAGGAGCTGGATTTAATTAATCTCTTTTGTCAAGGTCTAATGGTCTGAGCTATTTGTTTCCAAATCCAAAAGATGTGGCTCTTTTAGTTTTAGTATCAGTTAAACAGAGATATTTTGGATTTGGAAGTTATGGAGTATGATGAGATTAGAATCTTTCTGCTCTAGGAAAAGATAATTATGGATTTGTTTATTATAGAATGCTTGAGCTAAGTTAATTGGGTTCACTAAATTATCCACGATAAGTATTGTTATTAATAAGTTTCATGACTGAAAAAAGAGGTTTACTTTTCAGATGTTATGAGTTATTCTCATTGTTAATCATGATAAAATATAAAATAAAATAAGATTGTAAGTATTTATAAAATAATTGTGAGAGATGAAAAATACTTAAGATTTTAAGTTAAATATAAATATTTTATTGATTATCCAAATTTTAAATATTGTTAATGATGTTCTAATATATATTATATATATAAATAATGATTAAAAGAATATAGTAAACAAATATATAAACAAAATTAGTAAGTAAATAATAATTAGAATATCTGAATAATAAATAGTATTAGTTTGAATAAGGAATAATTTAATGTTGATTTGTGATATGAAATCATTTTCTAATTAAAAAATTAAGAATTTTAATGATTATTATTTTAAAATCATTACTAGTATTTATATAAGTTGCTTTATAGTTAAGTCTGAAATAATCTTCTATTTAGAAATCTACAAAATTTACATTTAAGTTTAAAAAGTTTTTGTATTAGATAATAAAATATAAAATAATAATAAAATGTAAGGATCAAGAAGGCATCCAGAACTTGATAATATGCCTGATTTTTTATTCGAAAGTAAAAGTATATTGATTTCAAGATACTCTAATATTATCTGATCCAAGAGAGGAAAATTGTTATTCTACTATAAAAGATTATTGTTGTCCAAATTTTAATTTAATGTCATTTACAGCTATAATTTCATTGATTCAATTGTCTATATTTATTGTTATGTGTTTTTTGGGGGATTTTAATCTTTAGAAAACAATTTTGTGTATTGTATTTAAATATTATTTACTAAAGAGTTCTCAGATGAAACACTTGAAACTTTTGGAAGATGTTCAGCTTATAATTTGAAATATAAATTAGAGTTTTATAGACTAATAACATGTCTATTCATATTTAATAATGTTAAAGATTTATGTGGATAATTATTATTATAAGTGATTGTGGTTTCAATGGTGGAGAAGTTTATTGATAAAAAAACTACTTTCTTTTTTTATTTAATAACTGGAATTGCAGGATCAATTACATTCATTGTTTTTTATGATTAAAATATTGAAGGAAATTCATTTTGTGTTTTTGGAATGGTTGGCTTAATGTTTGGTTTTATAATTTAAAATTCATAATAAGTATTTAAAATTAATATATAAAAAAAAGGATGAGGCAAGATAAGTAATCATGCAAGTAACAATTTTTATATTAATTATTGGAATTATTGGGTTTTTTTATAAAAATTCATTAATCTTTGGAATTTATGGAAGTTTCTTAATTGGAATTATAATTGGATTAATTTAACCAACATAAAATAGAATCTTTTAAAGAACTAAAATGAAATTTGTTGGATTAGGAGTAATTTTCATGTATTTTACTGGATTTATATATATTTTTTTTTCTTTCAGGATGCCATCACGTCCAATTGAATAACAATGAGTTTTAATTATTTGATTAATTAGTTGTTTATATAAAATACCAAAATCACTGTATATAATTATATTAAAATAAAAAACTAAGTTAAAATGGACAAAAAAGGAAACTTTGAAAGGTTAAGATAGAAATTAAAGAGTGATTTATTTAAGAATGAGTCTAATTAAAAATAGTATGCTGAAGAAATAATAAACTAATGTTCCTAAATATTAGATTATGTTCATTGTTCAAGTTAAAGTGAATTTAAAGAAGAGCCGACTTAATTAATAGATTATATCTCAAATCAGAAACATTTAGAGTAGATGAAACATTCCTTCTAGAATTAATATTAAATAGGTAAGATATTAGGTGAAGGTGCACATGCAGTCGTTCGATAATGTTGGTAAATTACAAATCCTGATGAAACCTATGCAGTCAAAATTACTAGGAATCCTGATCCTGAAATTACAGAAATTATGAAACAAACATTCCTAAATACAGTCTCTTTGAATCATCCATACATATGCAAAACTAATATGCTTTACATAGATCCTAATATGGAGTGTTCATATCTTGTCATGGAATATTTACCATATCCTAGTCTATAATAAATACTTAAAGAAAGATAGAAACTAGAATTTGAAGAAGTCCGCTTAATTATGAGATAATTATTTGAAGCACTATCATATATCCATAAAGTTGGATTATGTCATAGAGATATTAAACCAGATAATATTGTATTTGATAATGATTCAAACACAATTAAATTGATTGATTTTGGTGTTTCAAAAAGATTTCTTGTTACTGAAAAAAGTTGTAAAGACATTAAAAATAACCTTTTATGGACTGTTACTGGAACTATGCCATATCAAGCACCAGAATTATGGACAGGAATAGGATATTCTAATAAAATTGATATATGGGCTGTTGGTGTTGTTTGTTATTAAATGTTATGTGGAAGATTACCTTTGGATTAAGAAAACTAAATGGAAAGTTTTTCTACTTAAACTGAATATACTGGACATTTTCAAGAAGAATCTTTTATTAAACTTCCACCTTTAATTATTGATTTTATTAAAAGAATATTAAAATGGGATCCAGATAAAAGAATTACATCCTAAGGTATTCTCAATTTATAATTTAAAAGAGGCTCTCCTTCATCCTTGGCTTTATTAACCAAAGTTAATACCTAAATATTACAAAGGAAAATCTAAAGATGATATATTCTCTCGATCAAGTGATAAACCTCTTTTGGCACTTGTTAGATCTATGTAAGCTAATGTAAAAATATTTTAATAATCTGTTTCAAGTGTCAACGAGCATTTCCTTGATAAAAACAACTTCAACAAAAATCATGGATAAATTATAATTGGTTTTAAAGAAACTAGTCAATAAATAAGAGACAAATCCATACACTTTCAATAATCAATTCATTCAATGAATCTTAACAAATGTACTCTTAAGCCTAACACAGAGGATGTTAAAGACTTTTTTGATATTATTAGTTATTGTGATAGTAATTCCTCATTTGAAGCTTTAGAAGAGAAACAATAATTATAAGTTTAATAATAAAAATAAGCTTAATAACAGCAATAATAAAAATAAGCTTAATAACAATAACAATAAAAAATTGCATTTTCTTAAAGATTAGGAATAATTAAAGAAGAACCAGAAACCCTATTAGTAAATAGTTTCATTCCTAATATTCATTCAGAAATTCAAAATTGATCAAAATTTAAATTTATATTTATTATAATTTAAAAAGGATTTCATTTATCCCTTTTAAATAGTTTAAATGATATTTTTATATTAAATACCATCTAAATCTTTTGTATATCCTTTATTTTAAACATATTTATCCATTATCTTTTAAATTTATTTAAATATTCGTTTAAGTTCTGGGATAAGTAATAGTTTAATTCCCTTAATTACTATAAAAATAATTCTATAGGAATTTATTCTTTAAAATTCAAATATTATTTTAATTCAACTCTAAAATATGTTTAATAGTATATAGAGTGGAATATTATGAGCTAAGATATTTAATTGATATTGATTAGTGCAAACTTAAAATAAAGATATTTAAATTTTAGAAAAAAAATAAACATTTAATAAACTTTGTTATAAAATTCAAAGAGACAATTAATTCACCTAATTTCTATAGTTATTTTATTGTTATTAAATATTCATACAGTTTTTGAAAACTTTAGTTTTATAGTAAATATCTTATGATTCAATAATTTTCTAACAAAAATCATGTTTTTATAGAAAACAATGAAAATATGCAAGGCAGATGGATAGTCTTATTACTAATCATATTTTATAATAAAAAGTAAAATAAGCATTAATCTTAAAACATTATCTAAATATATTGGGATTGAATTAACATATTGAGTATACATCTTAAGAAACTTTAAATGAATTCTCAAATATACTGATTAACACTTATTGGGAAATAATATTATATCTTATAAGAAATATATGATATTTAATTCTTTAATAAGATTGGAATAAAACTGTGAGAGAAAATAGCATAATTTAAAAATAATTTTTTAAATAAATACAATGTAATACGTAGCTGCTTATGCTTTGTTAGTTTTGGGAGGAAAGGCTCAACCAAGTAAATCATATCACAATGAATATCTTAGCTGAGGCAGATATTAAGGGATTATTGGCTGAAGTAGGTGCTCAAGGAGCTGATGATTAAATCAAGGGAATTGTAGATGCATTGAAAGGAAAAACTCTTTCTGATGTTATCAGCGAAGGATTAAAAAAAGTAGGCACTCTCTAATTGGGAGGAGGAGGTATATAGTGAATAATAATCTTAAGCTGCATCAAGTGCTCCAGCTTAAACCTAAGCTCCAGCTGCCGCTAAATAAGAGGCCCCTAAACCAGTTGAAAAAGCCCCAGAACCAGAAGAAGATGTTGATATGGGTGGTTTGTTTGACTGATTTTACATTTTAGTACATTCATATACATATATTAAATATTTTATCATAAATCAATTAGCCTTTGTTGACAATATTGCTGGAACACTAACATTAGTGGATTGAGGCTTAGCATTATTATTATTATTATTGCTTCCATTGAAACTATATCCACCAAATTAAGCTAAAAATCAATAAGTATGAATACCTTAGATTGAGTTCCTTCTTAAACTTAATACACTTTCTGGATCAATTTCATTAACAGAATCTCTACGATTTTCGTTGGCTATTGAAATCATTTCATCCTCTCTGGGAATATATGGTGCTGTTATTTATCTATCCAATAATTTATCCCAAGAATAATCTTTAAACCATTAATGGGCCTTAACTTCATCAGGACCATTTACACCTAATCTATTAGCAGGTTTTCTTTAAATGAGCTTGCTCTTAATAAAAAACTAATACTTTATTGGCAAAATCAACAGCCTCTAATGACCATCCAGTGGGTATGTCTGTATTTTTAATTTGAACTTATTTTGCTATGACTTGATCTCTAATTTCTTATCTACTTTTGCCAACATATGGTCGTTTTCCCATAATACATTCATAAACAATAACTCCAAGTGCATAATAATCAACACCTACTCCATGATTTTATCCTATTTAATTAGATTAAAAAATTGTAATTCTTACTGCACATAACTTCTGGAGCCATATATCCAGGTGTACCACTAGTATCTTATGCATTTTCAGGTTTCCATTAACGAGCAATTCCCATATCTGTCAATTTTAAGTAACCTTTATCATCAAAGACTAGATTTTCAGGTTTCACATCTCGATGGAGAACTCCATTTACATGTAAATATTCTAATGAGAGTATAATACAAACAACAAAGAATTCTATTTTATTTATTTAAATGTACTAGTTTGTTCTTCTGTAAATTTCCTTTATTTACATAGATGATATCTCAAATCTCCACCTGTTAATAAATCCATTACTAAATAGAGATTGTCTCGATCCTAGAATGCTGCTTACATATTAATAATAAAACTATATAAATTGATTGCATTTACTTATGTTTCAATTAACTAAGTAATTATAATTCATTCATTACTGATTAAACACTTTTCTTTGCAATAATCCTATTTCAATTATATAGATTTATTACTTAGCTTTTGACATTATTTTCATAGCATATAAACTTTTTGACTTTTTGTTCTCAACCATCCAGACCTAATTTCCTTTATTATTTTCTTTAATCTTACCTTTCCAAAGCCTCCCTTGCCTATAACACTCTTCTGTGTGAAATTAGAGATAGAGATGACTAAAATAAGTTAAGACTAATACCTGTTTAATCTTCTGACTCTGTTGATTTTAGTGTGCAATTTCCCATTTTTAATTTATTAATGACTACAACAGCTGAATTAACTAAATAACTATTAGAATATCATGGCTGCATTTATGAAGAGAATGTTGTTCATCAACTTAATGAGTATGCTAAAAAGCTCATGAAAACTATTTTAGATGGTGCTTCAAACTTGGCTGACATGTAGAAGAGATAAAATATTACCACTGAAGATATAAAGTTTATCATTCATTTATAAATGCTAGAATAGCCTATGAATATCTATAAAATCCAACAATCAGTACGAATGACCTAATTTAAGTTGCATCTGATAAGAATTCTCAATAATTGAATGATCAATTTAAAGATTAAACTAATTATGATGCTAGATTGCCTGCAAGTGAAACCAATAAACTTTTGAAACCCAATTTCTAAGTTATTGTTAAAACTCAACCTGATTAAATACCTCTAGTTTAATAGTAAATGGAAATTGAAAAGAATCCCAATAAATAACAATAATAATAGTAAGCACCAAAATTAGGAAGAAAAAAGATGAATATCGAAATGGACGAGGATCAATGATCTATATTATTATAAACATCTGTTATTAATATTAAAATTCGCTTTAATGGAATTTAATTAGGACGCATTTAACCTTCTATTCAAACAATTATGTTCTCTCTCCTTACTATCCTAAAAAACTACTAATGAACTTAATGATATCTATCATCACTTAGCTAATCAAGAAGCTTCATTATAAAATCAATTTTTTCTACACTAAACCATCAATGAATCAGAATAGAAGTATCTACATTAATCATTTCAATATAGATTAATCAATCGTTTTATAGCTAGAATCTCAGAAGCCTACCAATTGATGTTAGCTAAAAGATAAATTGCCAGATCTAAACATTCTAAGTTTCTATTATCCATTAATCATTGTCAAATAAAAAAATTTGATAGCAAATAACTCCTTATGACATCTTTAATTTCAGCTGTCTATTAAGAATGCCGACTATAAATCGAATTAATATTAAATAAGCAATAAGATGCTTAAAACTAAAGAGTAATACTCTATCAAATTTAAGATACACAGTCAAGATAGCAACCAATAAGGAGAATAAATCCAGAATCAATTTTATTCAATGGAAGTTACAAATAAAAAAAATATCCAAAATGAATGGTCAATTAATATCAAAGATAATAAAAAACTGAACTACTTCTATACTAAAATCTTTCCAAAATAATATGAAGTCATCGAATCAGCAGACAAGTATTCATTAATATATCTTTTTAGAATTTAGGAAGAATAGATACTCTATTTTTAAAGCAGATAATAAAATAAGGATAGAATTTTTAAGTAATTACTTTCATAAAATGAACATATTTAACAATCTCTAAATTGGTCTCTAGATATTGATTTACATAATTATAATCGACAAATAGAAACTAAATTATAAAAAATAAGGCTTATCTAATTAACTACAAAATAATAATTATCAAATTAATCTTCTCCTGCTAGGCCATCTCAACTATCAAATAAATCTATCAAATAGAATAATCCCATAAGTCCACTTAAAAATATTAATAATTATCCTAAAATGCCTTAGATAATTATCAAATAGAGAAGTATATCATAAAATGTTCCTTAAAGTGAATTTAGATTTAAGAGTTCTATAGTTTAATCAAATTAATACTAAGGAAATTCTTAATTTACAAGTTAAAATTAAAAATAAATTTAAAATGAATCTGAAAAAACAATATTGTTTGCTAAATTGATTGAAAAGTATAAATAAAATTAGTCGTAACTCAATAAAATAAGAGTTGAATTAGGACCAAAAAAATAGATATGTTCAGTTCTTAAAAGTAAGCAATTGATCGATCTAATCCCAAAACATAGCTCTAAATTAAAACCAAGAGCAACCAAAAACCTTATGTAATAAGTACATTCTATTGTTAATTGACTTTTATATATAAAAAGATTAATCAAATTTAATAAATGAATAGTTCCAATTATTAATACAAATCAGAAAATCAATTAATTATGTAAATATCCTAATTCTTAATACTTTTACAATGAATTTCCTCTAAATAATAAGATTTATGAAAATTGATAATTATTTAAGATTAATATAAATATATATATATCTACTATTTCTAATTAACATTCACTCACATATAATTAATTCTATCAATCTTAGAAGGTAAGATCTAAATCATTTCCTTACACATCTATAAAACAGCTTAGAATTCATTTTATTAATTTTATTGGTTAATATATTGAACCAATTATTTATATTAATTTAATGAATTAACTAAATAAGTGACTTTAATTTTCTTATCTTTAGAAAAGTACTTAGACTATGCTTTAGCAATATTGAAATAAGCTGTAGTTATTGATGAATAATAAGCTGAATCTCTTTATTTCTCTTCAAGCAATTTCAATTATTCAATTATTTTTTCATAATATTGAATTGTATTAAGACATGATTTATTCATTTTTTCAGTTAATTTTTTACTTTTACCACCTTAAAAATCATCGATTTCATTAAATTTAACAATAAATTCATATAATTCGTTATTTATTTCTGCAATTTCAACTAATAATTTTTCATAAGTATTTTGATAAGCTTTTGGATTGATAGCATTAAATACAGGAAGTAATAAATCTAATCTTTTTTCTAAATATGCAATAATATTATTAGGATCTGTTTCAAGACTCATAATAACTTTATACATATTTGAGATTTCACTAAGCATTTGAATGTGCTCAGTTACAAATCCATCTAATACAAAAATAGACATAGCTTTTTTGTATAAAGTATTAGATTATCTAAATAAGGATTTTATTTCATCAAATGTTTTAGAAGGTTAGAATACCTAATATGATGATATTAAGTAATACTAATTATTTAACATTAACACTATCAAATGTAATGCTATATTTATTAAATAGTTTAGGAAGACTTGGGTCATTCTATTAATTGCTTTTAATACAATCAACACAATATGCCATCATATCTCCAATTATTTTCCCTTAAGCCATTTGTAAAGTTGCTCGACTATGATTATAATGAATGAATACAGTTTTTTCCTTTTTCCTTCTGGAATGACTGCTTCACCAACTAAGAGAAGGTAAAAGGCCTATGCAAAATTCCATATTCCTGAATAATACTCAGATAAGGATATGCAATTTATAACTAAATCTCTTAATTCATAAGTTTTAGACTTGAATTATCTTAACATTGTCTATCCACAATAATAAGCAGCCTAAATTAATTAACTTAAACATACTTTGTCTTTAATTCCAAGTTTGGTATAAGCTTATGCTATATAAAATAGTGTTATAGTGTAAAATTCTTATGCTTTTTCATATCCTCCTTATATTTTAAAGGCTCTTTTTTCAAAATCTCCTTTGGCTATTAAATATTCACCTAATCTTTCAGCTTTAGCCAATATAGCTAATCCTGTTTCATTATCGTCTAAATTAACTGCTAGAAACCCTAAATGATTATAGATAGATTAAATATAAGTCAAATAATTTTCTATTTCTGCTATTTATGAAAAAAGTTATAAGGATTTTGCCATATTCTTTCTAGCTAAATTGAATAAAAGTTGAAAAATTACATTCCCCATTTTCTTCACAATCTAGAAAATTGACTCCTAATTAATAATGTATGATAGCTTATTGCAAAGGGTCTTATTTTTTTTACAATAATTATTATAATAAGGTTCTTGCTCTGTATTTATAAAGAAAGGGTTATTCTTCTATACTTGGAAACTTTTCTAAATGTTCAACCTAAAAAAGAGTGCTTTCAAATTCGTATAACATATATTAATTGATTATTTTAAATATTTTATTGTAAATGTACACTTTATTATCTCTAATCATTTCTTGGTTTCTTTAGCTTACTTTCTCTTTTCCTTAACTCCAACGAATTTAGCATTGTACCATTCTTATCTTAATCTTCTATAAATATTTTTAGATCTTAATTCTTTTGAGATAACTGTGGCTTTCTCTCTCTTTGGAGTTCTTTAGAATGTGATAACCTGAAAATTATTTATATGATATCTACCTCTGGATTAGTATTCTATGTGTATGCTTTATTAATAACATCATTTGCTGAGTCTTTAACAACTCCATTCTTTGGTTTACCAGCAACTCTTGGGAATAAGACTAATTTTGATAAATATGCCTTAATTCTTTTAACATTAACTGCCAATTCTTCTTAGCTATTGTTTCTTCTTCTGTGATCAACTGCAATTCCTACAGTTCTGGCAAATTAAGCATTAAGACCTGCTTCTTTCAATTCAATAAGTGAGAATCCTCTTCCCAATTTCTAAACTCCATTATATTTAATTGTTTGACCTCTTACAACTGGTCTAAGTAATTCAACTGGTCTTGGAGAAGCTCCTATTGAGAATTAATAAAATAATAATTTACTTAATGCATTAGCTTATCTTCTTTATTATCTTCTTCTCTTGGCAGCTGGTTGATTGTAATATGTCTTTACAAATCTTGTCCAATGTTTTCTTAAATGGGCATTAGGGAGTTGTTAATTGTGCTTCATTTTTAGAAAAAATTTAAAAAATAAATATAAGGATATTTAAAAATATATTAAATGACTCAAATGAGCATTTTATTCAAATAAACAATACATTCTTATGTTTCTAAAAATCATTAGATTCATTTATAATATATATTTGTATTTATCTTAATTAATAAATTATTCATATATATCCAATTTGATATTTATATAAGTTTTTAGAATCTATATTTTATAATTTATTTTATTTACTTTACTTATAATATACAAATTTTGTTTTTTAGAATAAATAATTAGAATATTATCTATTTTTTAATCAATTAATCTAAATTCTTTAGTATTTTAAATATGAAATTAATTGTACTAAGTAGAACTCAACAAATAATGTAATATAAAATTCATATATGTATATATAGGATAAATTTAAAATTAATTTAGATCTCTAAATAAAATATATATATGGATGTGTTATTATTTTTATCTTAACTTATTCAATCCTTAGCTGCTCTATAAATTTTATTGCATGCATCTTCTAGAAGTCCTAATAGGGATTCTTGAGATTCTTCTCTTAATTTTTTTTCTTCTTCTATTTCACTCTTGACTCTGGAGACAAGGTCTTTAAGCATTTCAAAGATTGCTGTTTCTGATTCTTCTCTGAATAAATTTATTTAATCAGTACCTTAATTTTTTTTAATTACCTAATCCTTCATTCAATCGTTTAATTTCATCTCCAGCTCTTCTAAGAGTACCATTATCACTATCTTCCCTATCTTAACCTTCAGTTTTAACCATGTCATATAATTTAGGTAGATCATTTTCCAAAGATGTTGTAATATTTTCAATTTATTCTTATCTAATTTTTCCTTCAGTTTAGATATCTGACTTCAAATATACAACCTATATATAATTATGATTAATACTTTCTCATCTAAATATCCAGATAATTTAAGATTTCCATCCTTTCTTAACGCTATTTCTTATTCGAGTTTAGTTGTGATTCTACTTTCAAAAGCAGCAATTTCTCTCACTCTTTATTCAAATTAAGTTTCGAAGCCATTGTTCTCCTCTTCGATTTATTTTTAAAGACGAACTATTTCATCTTTCAGTGAGTGCTATATGTTTATAATACATTAATTTACAAGTTTTCTATTATAGGAAGTGATTGTGTCTTGCATTCTTTCTTCTACACCTGTAATTCTTCCGCAAATATTATCAATTCTATGGGCTTTGGATGAATCATGTTATAATTATATTGAGTTAAGCTTTTCAGAGATTTTAGAAAATCTTTCGTTGAAAGGTGTATTTGGATTCATTTTTATTAACAAATTTATTTAAGTATATTTATATTTATAGCTTAATACAGAATTAAACATAATATAAAAATTAACTAAGATATTATTCATAATAATTAATTAACAAGCAAATAAGTTTTTTTTTCATATATCAAAGCTATATCTTACTTGATTCTCTTCACAAAATCTTTAAAAGAAATTGAGGTTTCTATTACTTAATTATTAAAGATATTGGTTCAAAGATCTATAATCTTGGATATATAATAAACATCCTAAATATAAGAAGTAAATGTATAAATTATATATGTATTTATTAATTATTAATAATTTAATAATATAAAATATACAATCGTTTAGTATTTAAAAGAACAAAAATTCCACTTACATTCAAATTTCGACCTAGTTATCCTTTTTTAATTAGTTAATCAAATACTAATATGATAATTATAATAAAATTATTTTATAATAATGACGTGAAGAAATTTATTAAATTTTCTTTAATTTAATGATACAGAAAGAAAGTTAAGACCTTCTTAATTCGAATTTTTATTTTTAGGATAATAATTATTAATAAATTATCACACTTTATGGACAATCATTTTTTTAAGAGTGAAGATAACCTAGGTCTTCAAAATAGTTTGGAAAATCTTAAGTATATGATTATTTATTTATTATGATAGGAAAAGTAATCGTCCTTCTCATTATCAGAAAGTTGACGAGAATATTAGATAATAAATAATTGATCTAGCTTGTAATAAAGGGTAACCATTAAGATAAGTAAAATTATTATAATTCTTCAGATTGCCTAAAACCTTGGAATCAAATATTCAACTGCCAAGGCTATAGTCTAAGTGTATTAAAATGAAGGAAGGATAGGTAAAAAACGAACAAGAGATAAACGAATTTTTTAAGAGATCGAAACCTTTATTATGGTTGTTCATAAGGAATCAGGGAAAATAGAAAAGCTGAAACATAAGTCAGAGTGTAGTGATCTAAAAAGCAATTTCCAAAGCGCTAAAATGAAGTAAAAAGTATAATTAAAAGTTGCCAGTCTTGAAGAAGTTCACTATTCTTAACTAGCTCAATATTTTGAAAGATATAATCTCCAAGAAGAAGATAAGGTGCAAACATCACAGAATTAGACCTTACTGGATATTGTTAAAATTTTAAATACGCAGTACTAATAATTTGATAATGTTCCTTAGCAATAACGATGATTAATTTATATATATATACAAAAATAAACTTTATTCTTAACAAAACAACTTTAGCTTTGTATTTTCTTTTTGAAATTTTCTTCTAGACTAATAATGGTATATTCATATTATATCTTCTTTAAAAATATATTATTATAATTGCTAATATATAATTATTAAAACAATATTTGTAAATTATTAAAACATTATAAATTCTTGATTTATTTATTAAGAATATTATCTTCCTATCAGTACATCGTCTATTGATTAATATTAAAATTAAATTTAAAGGGATACCAATTCAGTTCATGTTTTACTTAAATGTTTAAAAATGATAATACTTAAGAATAATTTAATAGCAGCAAATAATATTAATGACTAAAACACTTTATTAGTGATTTAATATTTAATTCAATAAATGAATTTGGATCAAGAAGCATTTTTCTTTAAACCATAGCTGATTCTTAATCAAATAATTAAATTTCCGTTACAATTTTATTAATAATTGTTTGAATAATATAGGAATATTTTATTACTTTTCTTTCAGGGAATACTGAATTATAATATTATATTTAATCTTCAATAATTATATCAATCTCACTCAATTTAAAGAAATACAATTTTATTGATGCTATTTTTACCTCAAATTTCTTCTTATTGATATATCTATTTTAATGAATAAATTTTAGAAAAATCAAGTAATTTTTTTATTTGAACAAAATTGTTTCAAAATATCAACAATTTAGCATTTTCTAAGTATTATGCACTTTTTACAATTCTTTTTGATTCTCTATAAGAATATAAATTAATTAAATATTTTTAATAAAATAGTATTAATTCAAAATAATCAATTGTTACAAGAAATAAATACATAATTAATTAAATATATCTATAAAAATCATTATTAACATTTTATTGCTGATCTTCTACAGTAAGGGCAAGAATTCTTAATTTTAAGCCATCTAATTAAACATTCTGAATGAAACATATGTTAACATTCTAATAATATAATTTTCTATCTTTTTTGTATATCATCACCGCAAATGGGACATTATATTGTATTATTATTTTATTCTTCTAATTGGGCTAAATCTATAGCTTAGTTCCTTTTTTATTAGACTTCTAATTAGGAATTAAAGGATTTAATTTCTATTTTTTCCAAATCTTCTTCTCTCAAATTTGTTACTTAAACTTAAGGGTTATCATTAAAAAACCTTCCATCTCTACAATTCCTTAATTACAAATAATATTGGCCCTCGATAATATGTATATATTTACTAATATATGAAGATTATAGATAAAAGCTATTATTATACTTGCTAATGTTAAGCCAGCAATTAAGTATGAAATTTATTCATAATCAATAATTAATTAGATACCATCTATTATAACTTAAAGGAATTAAATCAATACAAATAGGTTTATTACAAAATAAATCTTGGTAATCTCAAAGACATGAAACATTAACTAATTAATGAGGAACTTTATAAAAGGTTTAATTTCCTTTTCTAAATTATCAAATTTGATAGAATAATAAAAGCCTAAAGTTTAAAATATGATAATTTACTAACAAATATAATCAGTGTTTAAATATAAAAGATGTATTCATATGATTGAAATAACCTTTTATCACAATAAGGGAGTTAATGTATATCATTTCTTCTGATGATATTTCTTGAATAGTAAGAATAAACATGATTGCAAACAAAAAAAGCAAATGCATAATACAATAATTAGTTGGCTGTGTATATTTATAAGGGTGTATCAAAGAATCCATATAGAGCAATAACAAAACTAAAAATCTAGTTGAATTATATAAAATATAGTACTTCATTAAATAGAATAATGGGGTATGAGACTTTGTAATGATTTTACCAGATATTGATAAGCAAGTTTCTTAAATTATCTCCAGTTCCTAAATAAGCATGCCATATTAAAGTAACCCAAATATAAATCACCCCTAAATGAAACAATATAAAATAAGTCAAAGGTACTTTTACATAAGCTGTCTACATTTATTGCTATGTTTTACTTATTATTTGTCTGTTGATATTTGATCATATAAGTAATATGAGCTTATTGATATTGGACAACTCATAAAAATGATAGCTATGGTTGTTTGAAATATGAGTTTGAGAAAGACCATTTAATGTTTATATTGGTTTATAAAAATTAGAAAAAAAATTAATAACATCGAAATATTGTTATAAGTTATCTGAAATAATCTACAAGAATAATTTAGGTTTTACCATTATTACAATTGCATTATTAAATATATTAATAGAAGATGAATTTAATAAAAAATAAAAAGAAAAATCTAAGAATTATAAAAATTTATTGTTTTTTAATTACAAAAATTTTAGATGAGAGAAAAAATATCAATCACTAAGATTAAGTATTTTAAAATTCTTTATAAATATTAGAATAAATAAATGAATAACAACTAATTTAATTAGTATTTTATAATTAAATAATAGGAATACAAATAACAAATATACGACTAATATAATTTTCATTGAGTTTCTCCTTGTTATTATTATTGTGGATGAGCAATATATTCGAATTCTTTTTTATTTTACAATCCAAGACAATTTATAATCCATTTTGTTAATTCTTCTAATAATTTTGGATATTTATTTTAATCTTTAATCCAAATTGAGATTAGTATAAAATTCTTTTTAGAGTGACCAATCTTAATAATTAATATTATTTTTTACAATTCCACAAACACCTTATAAATGTGGGTTTTCATCACTTAAATAGTGTAAAATTAGTTCTTCCCACACTCTATTTTCAAATCCTCGTTTAACTCTAAGTATTAATCTTCCACCATTCATGTTTTAAGGATCTTCCCATACAGGTTAAATTTGCTCTTGGAATAAGAAAAATTATGCCCCTAAAGGTAATTTCTCAGGTTTGACCATATAAGAATATATTGACCAAAATTCTCTAGCTGTTCCAAAAGAGCCTTACATATGCCAATATTTTACCTATTTATTTCAACTGGTCACTAAAATTATCAACATTTTAGTCTTTACTAACACTTAGCCAAAAGGTAAATCTTGCTCTTAATTAACAATCCTAGTTCATACACGTAATTATGTTAAAATAAAATTAGTTTTATTTAATAAAATTCTTACATTTCTTAATTTCCTTATATTAAAGTTTGTTAGAAAATATATTAGTATTGCAAAGTAAACTAAAAATAAATAAATGATATATAAAACCATTTAATACAATATATAGTAAGATTATTTATTTACTTTTATGAAAAATAAATATAATAAATTCAATCTGATATAAAAGCTTTTTATCTATCTAAACCTTTCTAAGGAATTTCACTATAATTTATTGAATTAATAAATACTTTTCTTCATTAATTTATGGTTTTTTATCTGAATTTTATTTTTAAATAGATTCCTTCTCCTATTTTAATTTATCCACATTTAATCTATGAACATTTCCTGGTGTATATGGACTTGATCTTCTTTAAGAATATCTTCGCTCTGGAGTTGTATCATTTTTGATTAATCCAGATGTGTAAGGTTTTTGAGGAGAAAATCTTCTAGTTCTTTTATTTTCATATTCATCTAATTTATTTCTAACCATATTTTAGTATATACCTAATATTTTACACTCTTTTTTGTATATTTTGAGATTCAACAGGTTCACTGGGTCTTAGATCTATCCTATGTTAAACTGTCTTTAAATTCTTTTTACAATTAAAACCTTGTAAGCCTTTCTATTGAAGTTCATATGGATTTTTCTAATGATAGTCTCCATGAAATAGCTCTCCTATGTAATGTTACAAATCTCCCTTTAATCTTTTAGTTTTCTGTGATCTTCTAATTTGGTCATTTTCATCAAAATTAATAGGTTATTAGAAATTCTTAGGACTTATGTATTATTCTTTAGGACGTTTAAGTTTAGGAGATAATATTTTGATATTAGTTTAATCATTAATGAATGTTTTTGTTTAATTTGTTGAATAATTACCTCGTTTATGAATGATACTATGTTATGAATCTAAATAACTTTTTTTAGGCAATGTCACTTTTCCAATTACTATAATTTAACTTTCAACTAATGGTTATTCTTGTTTTTATTTAGATGCACTATCTTATATATCTGACTATTATGGAATTTCTGCCAATTTAGTTTACATTTTACTAATTGATAATTCATTAAATTAAATTTAGCTCTTTTTTGCCAAGAATTAAGAGAATACATCACTTTCATTTGGAGCTATTTCATCTTTTTGTTTTTAATCAGTATTATTTTATACCATTTCACCTAACTTTTTATGTAAATCTTCAAGATTTTCACATCCCTATATCTAAGATACTATTAACTTTTTTTTATAAGGATCTCCCTTAAATATCTTAGCATCTTTATCTTCCAATATTACAAGAACTTATAACTTTTCATCTATCATCTATAGTTTATGTTAATTGGCTTTATAATTAAATTCCCATGATTCCCAAATCTTAATAAAAGCTTCTTCATTTAAATGTTAATCCTTAAATAAATCATTTCTAGAATGATAAATAATATTACAGATTAATTCCTTTAGCATAATCTTCAAAATCTTAAATCTTTAATTCTGAAGCATTGTCTTATACTAAACATTTAAATGCTTCAGATGGATTCTTGAACTTTGACTATAAGTTCTTCTTAAGAAGAATCCAATTCTCAAGAATTGCTTATGAAGCCTCTAAGACTTGCTTCTATTTAGTTAATTCTTCGATTTCAGACATGATATTATTAATTAATTAAAATAAATTTTATTCAATATTACTTTAAACTATTAATGAGTGCATCATTTTATTTTTTTTCCTCTTATATTTTATAATAAGCTTCTTATAATTGTTTTCTTATATATTCTTTCTAATATTTCCATTCTTATAATGTATTTTCACTTTATTTTTACATATTATTTATGAATGCACAATCATTAGTATTATGTTTTTATTATTTTCTTGCTGAATAATAATTTTCATTCTTTTTATCACTTTCAATATCATTTCTATTTTCTTTAATTTATATTTAATAATCTGAAATCTAAGAGTTTAATTTCAATATTTCTATTTTGAATTCATTTAATTCTTATTAGTGTTCTTTTTCTTATTATTAATATAAATTTGAAAATTTATCAATATTAACATTAGAATCTATAACTCTTTATTCAAATTTAGATATTATGGATCTTAATTTATTTAGTTCTTATTTATTTTGATTATCTATTGATTTTAATTATTAATTATGATCTTATTGTAACTATTCTAATTATAATTTTAGATCAGAAATAAGAGTATCTGAGACAGAATTTCTTTTCTTTATTTATTCATTTTCAAGTTTTAACTTTTCAATAAGTTTATCCTTTTATCTATTATCCTCTAATTGAAATTCTTAATAACTCTATAAATCTGTTTATAATCTTCTAATTTCAAGTTCTTATTTTGATTAAATTTGAATATGTAAATTTGAAAGATTTTTAATAATATGAAATTCATGCTATATTCTTTATACTGTACTTTCCCAAATTTATGTAATATATGTTTGAAGTTCATTAGTATTGATATTTTTAGATAAATATTCTGAAACTGCATTATTTGCTATATCAACAATTCCCCAAAAATCCTCTTTATCATAATGATGAATTTCATCTATAAAATTGTTTTTTATTGTATCTAATTAAATTAATTATAGATCTTAATATCTTCTTTATGAATCATTAAATAATCTTTCTAAATCTTTCTTTACACTCTTCCATTTCTTTATAAAAATTTCTTTTTCACTATTGGCTTCTAAGTAATTTTTTATTTTCTTTAATAACTAAAAAATAAAACTAATATATTTACTATCTAATTTAATTCTATCAAATCTCCCAAATCTTGTTCTTAAAAAAATTCTTCTATTGCTTATTTGTAATAATCAATTTAAGTATTTATATGATATTCAAATTCTTATTCTTGAATCATTTGCCATTATGTTGCAATCTCAGGTAAAGTACCTTAATTTATTGCATCAACAAAATATCTAAAAAATTAACTTATTATTATTACTTTGACATTTCAATAAATGTAAATGGTGTAATGGCTTTACCTTTATATTATTTGAACTAAACTTTAAATGATAATTTCTTTCTCAAAGCAAGCACCTATTCTTAAAATTCCTCTCTTAATTCTTCAAATTTTACACTACCTAATTATTAAAGATCTTTTTCATCTTCTGTAGGTCTTACAAGAGTAATGCAATCCCTTTCAGAAAAGAATTAAGATATATGTCTCCTAATTTTATTTTTATTCTCTATAGTTTCACTTATTCCTTTTAAAGGCTTAAGAGCTGCTTCTAAATAATCCTTTGGAAGTATCTTATTTCCATATTCATCCTCAAGTCTAAGTGTGAAATCTCTCAAGATCCATAAAAAAGAAGGAAATGTCTCAAATAAATCCTTCTATGTATTTTAATCTGCCTTCTATAACATTTTTGTTAAATTAACCTATTTATAATAAGTTAAATTTACAATTAAACCCAAATTCTACAATGCCATATCATCTATAGTACCAACACTATTATAAATAAAATAGCTGCTCATTAGCATTGCTAAAAGGAATACTTTTACATCATGATTCATATCTTCTTCAACTGACCCAATTCCTTCAGTATCAATTAAAATTGCTGGAATTGGTTCTTTATTTCTACCTGACTCAAAATAAATCAATTCTGACCACATCCATAAACCCTTTAATAATATATTAAAATATTCATTACTTTAGTACAAGCATTGATAGTAGAACCTACTTCAAACCCTTTACTTTATTAGAGTAATAATTAATTAATTAAATAGCTCTTTCCAGTTCGGTATTTACCAACAACGACAATCACAGCAAAATTCTTGCATTTATCATTAAATGATTTTATTATTTGAATAGCTTCCTAACAAAGGACTAATTCTAATAAATTCGTTTAGTTTAATACTTTTTGTTTAAGTATCGATGGCAATCAATTAAATAGCTCTTGGAGTTTGTTGCATAGGTAATTAATTTAACGATAAAGTTTTATAATTAATGTAATTTATCTAATTGTGAATAGTTCAATTTCAAAAATTTGTGAATTACTATTAAACTAGATTAAATAAAACAG